ATAACCCGGCATCAGGATGATCAGCGTCCGACATGTTGCACCCAGCGTGTAAAATAACGTAATCTCTCGCGACATCTCCAAGAAAGCCGCGCACGCGCTGTAATACTATGAAGTAGAGTATTTTACCTAGTTGATTATTTCATGTGTTGACCTCTTTTTCTGTAAGATGTTACACCTGTGTTACAAATAGTTTTCCTGAAAAAAGATAGAATTACACACCACTCAATACATGTCTACGAATAAAATTAACATTTTAACAAGGGCTAGTTGGTGTAATTAAGATTTAAAGGATAAGTTGTTATTGAAATTCAGCACTGAACCTAAAATTTGTAATTATATGGATTAAAATACTAAAAATAAAAAGAGTTACATTTGATTACATTTGCATTAAATACAGATTGAGATTTCATTAAACCCTTAAACTCTGTGTATTGGTGAAATAGACAAATCAAGGTTTAAATTTTCTATGTTATTTTAAATTTATAATGTAAGCCATCAATTTTCAATGTCAGATTTATCAATCTTACAACAGTGCACGATCAATTCACTGTTTTTATGACAGAATAATAAGACCATAAAATGAGAACAGACTTGTATCATTTTTAGCTCTACTGGTCAGAGACCAGAAGAGCTTATGCGATAGTAATGCGTCCGTCCGTCTGTCCGTCTGTCTGTAAACAATCTTTCAGAATGCTACTCCTCCTACAGTTTTGGTCTGATTTCAATATAACTTGGCACACAAGTAGACTACACTAAGATACATAATTCTGTGTATCGGTTTTTGATTTCGATTAACAGTTTGTTGCCGTTGTTACTAAAAATAGAAATTTCTGTGAAATTCTTTCAAAATGCTACAGTTTTGGTCTGATTTCAATATAACTTGGCACACAAGTAGACTACACTAAGATACATAATTCTGTGTATCGGTTTTTGATTTCGATTAACAGTTTGTTGCCGTTGTTACTAAAAATAGAAATTTCTGTTAAATTCTTTCAAAACACTACTCCTACATTTTTGGTCTGATTCCAATATAACTAAGCACACAAGTAGACCACACTAAGATACATGATTCTGTGTATTGATTTTTGATTTCGATGAACGGTGTTGCCGTTGTTGCTAAAAATCGAAATTTCTGTGAAATTCTTTCAAAATGCTACTTCTCCTTCAATTTTGGTCTGATTTCAATATAACTTGGTACACCAGTAGACTACACTAAGATACATAATTCTGTGTATCGGTTTTTGATTTCGATTAACAGTTTGTTGCCGTTGTTACTAAAAATAGAAATTTCTATGAAATTCTTTCAAAATGCTACTCCTCCTACAGTTTTGACCTGATTTCAATATAACTTGGCATACAAGTAGACTACACTAAGATACATGATTCTGTATATCAGTTTTTGATTTCGATAAACGGTGTTGCCGTTGTTACTAAAAATAGAAATTTCTGTGAAATTCTTTCAAAATGCTACTCCTACAGATTTGGTCTGATTTCAATATAACTAGGCACAAAAATAGACTACAAAAGATACACAATTCTGTTTATCGGTTTTTGATTTCGATGAACGGTGTTGCAGTGGTTTCTAAAAATAGAAATTTCTGTGAAATACTTTTAAAATGCTACTCCTCCTGCAGTTTAAGTCTGAATAGGGGACGACCATTTGATTCTGAGGGGGGGGGGGGGGCTGGCAAATTATTTTGAGATGGATTATTTATTTTCATGCCTGTCAAGGACAGATTATTTATTTTCAAGATTATCGAGGACAGATTATTTATTTTCTTCTTTGTCTTACGGCACCTTGATCGATTGATTCTAAAAGACTAATTATTTATATACCATAGGCGGATTCAGGATGGGGGCGTGTATAATTTCGTTCAGGCAAGAGGTCTAGGGCCGCGTTAAGGCCCCCAGTGGGTCTGGGCGAAGCACTGGTGGAGGCCAAGGGAGGGAAATTCCCCAGAAGCTCTTGGGTTTTCGGGTATTTTAAGAGTAAAACAGGTACAATTATAGTGGTATTGGTTATTATGTAGCAAAGTGTAATGGACAACCTGTATATTTTATTTCGAATTCCAATTTAGGCCGTAACTTTCGATTTCTGTATATTCCAAATTTATCCGAATAATACTTTACTATGATGTTTACCAAAATTGCACGAGCGCCATATTCAGTGTAAAGTTGTGTTCTACATGTTTTAACTGAAAGTTATTGAAAGTACCAGACATACATCACGGTAATTATCCATTGATTGTTTATTACATGCTGCCGGCTGTTTATATTTACTTGTTTCGTTTAATTGAAGTAGGAGTTTCTAATAATATCAATGTTTACAAAGTTAAATGTAAGGAGCGCTTTTCATGTCATGATTTATACGGATAAAAAGTTATATTATGTGTACATTTAGTATTGAGTATTATTATTCATTATGTTTAAATTTATTTTGTAGTCAATCTATGTCAGACACATCGAAGGATTTCTATGTGAATATAAATAAAGGACATCGAATTGAACCTGTACTGTCTTTGGTACTAGAGTAGAGAACACAACATTGACGTGATTCCGTCGCTGAACGGTCCAGGTTATGAGCATAATGCCTGCTACAGAAGAAACAGAACCGGGAACACGAAACAGAAAATTGACTGGAAAAAGGAAGAGAATATAAACATGAACAGTACAACAAAATTTTCAGAACACTGAGGTTAACAAGTGGTGCGATTAGACAGCTTATTTCTGATAATGAATCTCCAGAAACAGTAAGAAAAAAGTATGCTTCTTGGCTTGAAGATTATGAACATTTTCTTGTGATATTTGATGAACTTATACCTCAATTTACTGACAAGAATGAGAAAGAAGAATTGCTTAAGGCTCATTATGACTATGATGTGTTCCTCATGAACTTCAAGAAAGAAATAGAAGAGTTCTTTTCCTACGGTCACCAGAGTATTAAGGAGGAATCACAAAAGTCCAAGTCTCACACATCTATAGCTTCCAGTATTTCGTCCAAACGTCTTGAAGAGGAACAAAGAGTAGCTGAGTTGAAAGCTCGCAAAGCAGCACTTTCCCATAAAAAGGAACTAGAGTTAGCAAAGGTGAAACTAAAACTTGAAGAAGAAGAGTTGGATTTGAATACAAATATCGCTATTGCGAATGCTAAAACAGAAGTTCTTCAGAAATATGAAAGATATGAGGATGCTGATTTGCGTGATGTTGATTCTTACATAGATATTTTGAATCATAGAACATTAGCGCCAAAACCAACGCCAAAAACGCCTTTGTTTCATAGTGACTTTGCGTCAGTACCGTCCTTGTTTGAGAGGCCTTTGAATCCGAATGCAGAGACATTCACACCCAAGCGTGAAGAAATTCCTCCACTTGACCGTCATTGCCTTGATATTAAAACAAAACCACAGATATCTGAATCAGACGCTATACAGTGTGTCGTACAATATCTCCGAAAACCGGTAGCAGAAATAAGGAAATTTGGAGGAAATCCATTAGAGTATAGACGTTTCATTAGACAATTCAATACTAAAGTTGTAACGAATACGAAAGACAATGATGAAAGAATGAATTATCTGGAACAATTGACTTTCGGAGAAGCACACAGAGTAGGGTCTGGATTTAGTCATATGTCGGGAGACAGAGGCTACACAGCAGCTATGAATCAACTTGAAGAGCGATACGGAGACAATGAAGTAATCGCAACAGCATTCATAAAGAAGGCGTTAGACTGGCCAGCAGTGAAGGATGCAAAGATGCTAGATGAGTTCTCCTTGTTCCTGGTGGAGTGTCAGAATGCAGCTGAAAGCATCGATAGTGTTTCTGTATTAGACTATTCAGATAATATAAAGAGACTTATGACAAAACTTCCTGCGTATATGCATGATAGGTGGAGAAATGTTGTGCTGAAAACTAAGGAAACCAAGAAAACAGTGAAGTTTAGAGACTTTGTTAGTTTTGTGAAAACAGAAGCTAAGAAATCGAACGATCCCACATATGGTAACGCATCTATTGGTGGAAATTCCAAGAATCAGGATCGTAACCAGAAGAGAGCTGTCGCGTCTACTGATGTCACAAGTGAAGTACATGTACAAGACTTTAAAGTACGAGAACAGAAGTGTGAATTCTGTGAAAGTAGTACCCATGCACTGAATGACTGCAAGAAGTTTGTAACCAAAGGACTTCAAGATAGATACAACTTCCTGCGAAATAATGGACAGTGTTATGGATGTCTTAGGAAAGGCCATGTTACTAAAAAATGTAAAGCTAGACTTCAGTGTTCCATATGCAGCAGACGTCACCCTACGATCCTACATGACCCTACGAAATGTGTAGCAAAACCTACAGATGAAGAAAACATTAATCCTGTGTCAACGGATGTCAAAACTACATGCAAGATCTCTAAACCTCAGATCAGTGCCTTTAGTGATAAAGGGGCCGGAGAAACAACCTGTGCTATGGCGATTATTCCAGTGAGAGTAAAACTGAAAAATAAACCATATAGCATAGAAACTTATGCATTCTTTGACTCTGGCAGCAGTGTGTCATTTTGTACAGAAAACATAATGCATAGACTTGGAGCAAGTGGGAAGAAGAAACAAATCACCATAAAGACAATGGGGGATTCCCAGAAACTAAACACGTACGTCGTCAGTGGGTTGCAAGTATGTGGACTTTCGATGGAGCATATTATAACTCTACCAAATGTGTACACAAAAGAATGCATGCCCGTATCAAAGGAACACATTCCAACACAGCAAGAATTAAAACAGTGGCCACATCTGTCAACGATTCAAACATCTGAAATTGATGCAGAAATTGGAATTATGATTGGGAATAATGTACCTGATGCTTACTCTCCATTCGAGGTAATTGCTGGGCCAAGCGGTTCTCCTCATGCAACAAGGACTAGACTAGGATGGATCGTATGGAATGTCATAAGGGAAAATGCATCAGATACATTGACGTAAACAGAGTGGCTATAGAAGATGCTCAGGAAAGAGACAGAAACTTAGAAAAAATGGTGAAAGATTCCATAAACTATGACTTTCCAGAACGTCTTGAAGATGATGTGAAAGAAAACTCTTTAGAAGATAAGACCTTCTTAACTCAAGTTTCAGAATCGATTCACATTCGAGATGGTCATTACTCGATTGGACTTCCGTTTAAGGATCCTTTGATTCAGTTACCCAACAATATCATGCAGGGATTTCAGAGACTTGAGAGTCTGAAGAAGAAACTGATAAGGGATCCAAAGGTTAGAAATGACTATGTGACTTTTATGAACAAACTGTTTGAGAAGGGATATGCGGAACCTGTTCCCCAGAGTCAGTTACAAAGAGAGGACGGCAGAGTATGGTACCTCCCACACCATGGAGTTTACAATGATAAAAAACCAGGGAAAATCAGAGTTGTGTTCGACTGCTCTGCAGTTTATATGGGGATTTCACTAAACAGCCAGTTACTCCAAGGACCCGACCTTACAAATAGTTTACTTGGTGTACTTTTAAGATTTCGTCAGGAGAAAGTTGCTATTCAAGGAGATATTGAAGCAATGTTTCACCAAGTATCTATCCCTGAACAAGATCGAGACTGTCTAAGATTTCTGTGGTGGAAGGACGGCAATCTGGATGCCAGCCCTGAACAATACAGAATGAAAGTTCACATCTTTGGAGCCACTTCCTCTCCTACTTGCTGTAACTATGCACTACAACAGACAGCTAAAGAATATGGTTCTGACTTTGACCCTACAGTTATGACCACAGTACTCAGGAACATGTATGTAGATGACTGTTTGTCTTCGGTTGACACAGAGAAGAAAGCAGCGTTACTCATTGAAGATCTGTCTACACTTTGTAGTAAAGGTGGCTTCCATCTGACAAAATGGATAAGTAATTCCAAACAAGTGTTAGAATCTGTTCCAGAAGAAGATCGAGCCAAAGATGTGCAGAAATGGAACCTCGAATGTGAAAGTGAAACACTCGTAGAACGTGCACTAGGTGTGTACTGGCTTGTTAACAGTGACCGTTTAGGATTCCTGATAAACATTAAAAATCAGCCAATGACCAGAAGAGGAATTCTATCTATAGTGAGCTCAGTATTTGATCCTCTTGGTATCGTATCACATTTTGTGATGACAGCAAAGACACTTCTTCAAAAAATGTGCAAAAATTCAGTTGGATGGGATGAAGAGATTACAGGATGTCAACTAAAGGACTGGAAAAATTGGCTGACACAAGCAAAGGAACTTGAAAATGTGACACTTAAAAGATGCTACAAACCACAGGACTTCGGGAAGATGACATGTCAGGAGTTGCACTGTTTTGCCGATGCAAGTGAAGTTGGAATTGGAGTTGTGATATATCTACGACTTGTCAGTGAAACTGGAAAAATCCACTGTTCCTTCGTTCTTGGGAAATCGCGGGTGGCACCATTAAAAACAGTGACAATACCGAGACTTGAGTTGACGGCATCAACCTTAGCAGTGAAATTATGCAAGATAGTCACAAAACAGTTGGATTACCAAATTGATCAAGTTTACTTCTGGACAGATAGCATGTCAGTTCTTCGTTATATAAAGAACACGAAAACTCGCTTTCACACATTTGTCGCAAATAGGCTTGCCATTATTCATGCAGCAACCACAATCAACCAGTGGCACTATGTCACCTCGAAATTAAATCCAGCAGACTGTGCATCAAGGGGAATACCAGTAGTGAGTAGATTTCTAGATTCAGCATCATGGTTCAGCGGCCCTGAGTTTTTATGGAAACCAGATGTTTCATGGCCATCTACTGAAATCGCTAGTGACTTGTTAGAAATTGACAGTGCTGAAATTAAGGAGAGTGTCAACACAGCAGTTGAGACAGAAACAGTGGAAGGAATTGAAAGATTACTCCGGCACTTCTCTTCATGGAAGAAGCTGAAAACAGTGACTGGATGGCTACTCTTAGCACGAGAAAACCTCAAAATAATAGCAGAGAGGAAAAGTGAACAGAGATCAAGAATGGTATCAGAGGGATTTACAGAAGAGAAAATACAAGAATTGGAAATGAAGGAGAAGCATGACAGATTGAAAAATGCTAAACAAACTGAAAGACCTTCATTAAATGCAGACATTCTTGACAAAGCAGAAACAAACATTTTGAAGTATGTGCAGATGAAGTATTTTGCCCAAGAATTTAAAGACTTGAATTCAAGTGAAAATGGAGTTGTGAAAAGGTCATCAAAACTAGCCAAGTTAGACCCAATTGTTCATAATGGAGTTCTACGTGTAGGCGGTAGACTTAAGAAACTGGATACAACTCTAAACAGTAAACATCAAATAATTATTCCTAAAGAGTCTGTATTAGCCAGATTGATAGCAGAGGAAGCACATAAATCTGTCGGACACTTGGGGAAAAATTCAACGCTGGCACGTATCCGTGAGAAATATTGGATTCTTGGTGTGTCATCAATTGTGAAGTCAATCATTTCCAGATGCGTTATATGCAGAAAATATCAGGCACCTGCTTTGAAACAGAAAATGGCGGACCTTCCCAGCGAGAGACTAAAAGCTGATGACCCCCCCTTTACTCGAGTGGGCATGGATTATTTTGGTCCGTTTGAGCTTAAAAGAGGAAGAAGCATAATAAAACGATACGGTGTCATATTTACTTGCCTATCTTCTCGAGCTGTACATTTAGAGGTTGCCTTTTCCTTGGATACAGACTCCTGTATTGACGCCATTCGAAGGCTTATTGCACGACGAGGAAAACCAACTTATATACTGTCTGATAATGGAACAAATCTGGTAGGAGCAGAACGTGAGCTAAGAACAGCGCTGAATTCCTGGAATATGAACAGAATTTCTAGTCAATTATTACAGTCAGGAATTGAATGGAGCTTTAATCCACCAGCTGCGTCTCACTTCGGAGGAGTATGGGAACGCCTCATTAGGATAGTCAGGAAAATCATGTATTCTGTTCTGCATGAACAAACGATTCATTTGGATGATGAGGGACTGTTAACCTTGGTTTGTGAAATTGAAGCCATCATGAATGGACGTCCTCTTACAGAAGCTTCAGATGACCCAAATGACCTTTGTGCACTAACGCCAAATCATATATTACTCATGCGATCAGGAGAGAGTTTTCCCCCTGGAATTTTCCATGCATCGGACAACTACGCAAAACGTCGATGGAAACAGATACAGTATTTGGCTGATGTGTTTTGGACGCGTTGGATCAAAGAATATGTACCCCTTCTCCAACAGAGGCAGAAGTGGCTGAAGCAGGAAAGAAACTTACAAGAAGGTGATTTAGTTCTCATCGTGGAAAACACTCCAAGAAACACATGGAATCTTGGCAGAGTGCTAGAAGTGATAAAGGACAAGTATGATGTTGTACGCGTTGCAAGGATAAAGACAGTGTCTTCCATTCTCACGCGACCAGTCACAAAGCTTTGTCTTCTTTTGGAAACAGATTGTGAAAAAGAGAAAACAAATCAGTGAACCTCCGTGCAGTTAAACGTAAAGTGATTGATCTCATTTTAGATGATTGTTTTGTCCATTTTTGATTTATTAAGAAATATGTTTTTGTAAAAACACATTTAGGGGCCGGTGTAATGGACAACCTGTATATTTTATTTCGAATTCCAATTTAGTCCGTAACTTTCGATTTCTGTATATTCCAAATTTATCCGAATAATACTTTACTATGATGTTTACCAAAATTGCACGAGCGCCATATTCAGTGTAAAGTTGTGTTCTACATGTTTTAACTGAAAGTTATTGAAAGTACCAGACATACATCACGGTAATTATCCATTGATTGTTTATTACATGCTGCCGGCTGTTTATATTTACTTGTTTCGTTTAATTGAAGTAGGAGTTTCTAATAATATCAATGTTTACAAAGTTAAATGTAAGGAGCGCTTTTCATGTCATGATTTATACGGATAAAAAGTTATATTATGTGTACATTTAGTATTGAGTATTATTATTCATTATGTTTAAATTTATTTTGTAGTCAATCTATGTCAGACACATCGAAGGATTTCTATGTGAATATAAATAAAGGACATCGAATTGAACCTGTACTGTCTTTGGTACTAGAGTAGAGAACACACAAAGTATGACATTATTAATGTTGGTCATATCATACTTTGAATGAAGGGGGTTCAGGGGGCGAAGACCCCTGAAGCTCGTGGGTTTTTGTGTATTTTAAGAGTAAAACCAGGCACAATTATTTAGGAATTGGTTAGTTATGTTCCAAAGTATGACATAATTAATACTAGTGATATCATACTTTGAATGAAGGGGGCCCAGGGGTTCGCCCTCTGAAGCTCTTGGGTTTTTCACGTGTATTTTAAGAGTAAAACTAGGCACAAAAATATTGGTATTGTACTAAAGTATGGCAATATTAATATAATTCATACTTTGAAATTTTAGGGGAGGGGTCATACACATGTATGCCTTCCTTAAATCCGCCACTGTATACTTTGTATTAATTTATCGGGAAGTATAATTCTTTGACAAGAAAATTTATCTTTTGTGGAGTTTAAGAATTGGCTTGTATTTAAAGTGATTCATCACATCTACTAAGTGCACATTGTCATGTTGATCAACTGACTACAAGTATCCAGTCTGGTAATCTGATTTCAAATATTTCGTTCTAAAATGGCGAGCGAAGCGAGCCAAAAAAAAATACTGAATTGAAGATTCTGAGGTTAAATTACACGGAAATAAAAAGGTGTTTTCACAAGATTTAAATATCATAAGTCAAGGTCAAATTATTTATTTTCTTTGCAGAGGAGGACAGATTATTTATTTTCAACATTTTCAGGGACAGATTATTTATTTCCAAAATCTGCCAGGCCCCCCCTCAGAATCAAATGGTCGTCCCCTTATAATATAATGTGGCATGCAAGTAGGCTATACTAAGAACATAAAGAGACTTAATCAAGGATCATTATTCTTTTTATTGCTGTGGTAAAGTTTCAATTCCCAACTGCTTAAGAACTTTTCCCTTCCATTGCTACAAGAACAAACCAGTAGAGCTTCAGTCTCGACAGAGACTTCTGGTTAAACATTTAGGTTCTCTATCCTAAGCCTCAGGAACTGTATTCCTCTTTAAAAGGTTACCCTTCGTGTCATTTGTAATATTAACACAGCATGTTTTAAAAAAAGAAAATGAGAAAAATCTTAAATTAGAACATTAAAAAACCAGAAGTCTCTGTCGAGACTGTAGCTCTACTGGTTTGTACTTATAACAAAGGAGGAGAAAAGAAGTCATTGCCATCAGATCAAAACTGTAGAAGGAGTAGCGTTTTAAAGAAATTTCACAGACATTTCTATTTTTAGTAACCATGGCAACATTGTTCATCAAAATCAAAAACTGATGCACTGTTCAATGTATCATAGTGTAGTTTACTTGTGTGCCAAGTAATATTGAAATCAGACCAAAACTGTAGAAGGAGTAGCGTTTTAAAGGAATTTCACAGAAAATTTTTAGTAACAATGGCAACACCGTTCATCGAAATCAAAATCCAATGCACTATTTTATGTATCTTAGTGCAGTCTACTCGTGTGCAAAGTTATATTGAAATCAGACCAAAACTGTAGGAGGAGTAGCGTTTTGAAAAATTGTTTACAGACAGACGGACAGACAGACGTACGGACGACGGACACCTTACTATCGCATAAGCTCTTCTGGTCTCTGACCAGTAGAGCTAAAAACTATAATCGATAACATTTTGGCAAGTAATCATGTGTAATCAGTAATCACCCATTTTTCTGATTACTTGTAATCGTAATTTAATCAATTACTCTGAAAAAATCCTGTAATTACGATTACTTTTTGAGTACTTAATGATTACAATTATTAAAACAAAGTTAAAAAAATCAGGATTTTTCATGATTTTCAGTGAATATTTTTCAGTGTACGAAATTGTTTATTAAAAAAAGATATAATAAAATTTAACTATATAAGCTATATTTAACAAGCAATCTGAGAGTATTGCATAAGCTATACATGTCCCCAACCCGGTTCCCCTATTATCAAAAAAATACCACAATTTCTTTAGAAATCAATAAAGTAGAATGAAATGCAAACTTGATCTATAACTAAACAATTTATAAAAGCTATCCAGCAAGTTTTAATTCATGACAATCTCGTTTAGAACATAAATTGAGTCATCACGAAATAAATGTAGTGCATCATGAACCCTATATTTAACCCAATTATAAAATTAAAACTAGAGCCGAGCTCGTTGCTTTGCAACGAGCAAGTCTTCCGTTTGAGCTGTGGACCGGCAGTGCCGACCTTGGGTCAAGGTCACTGCAATTTGTTATAAGATTGATTGATTGTATATTGTTTAACGCCGAGTCGGCAATTTTTCAGCCAAGAACAACCTCTCTTCTCAGGATGAACCTCTTGTGAATCTTAATTACAAAGTTATGCTTGAACATGTTTTCTCTCTGTCAGTGACCTTGATTTGCCAGAGAGACCTTTGTCAAGGTCATAACACAATCTCTAACTATAAATAATCTATGTTTGAAGTACGAGCCTCCAATGATTTTTATTTACTAATTTGTAGCGCGGAAAAGAAAATATTTTTTCTGTCAGTGACCCTGATCTTGAGCTACGGATTAATCTTGGATCTGTGTCAACACAAACCCTCAATCTCAAACAACTTTTAGTGATTAGAAATTCATAAGCCTAACAGGAATTTTACATCTTTTTCTGTCAGTGACCCTGAATTTGTTAAAATGGCCTTATTTATAGTCATCTGAAACCGGAGAACCATAAGCAATCTGCATCAAGTCGGAACATAAAAAATAATAGGCCAGATTGAATTGATACTTTTTCCGAGTCAAAATAATACAAAACCTTTTTGTCACAAGAAATCTCTGTATCAAGTGAGCTTCCAGATATTATCGATTACATATATAAACAGCTGGGACAAAACAAAATCTTTCTAGTGACCTTGAATTTGCCATAATATTAGAAAAAAATGAAATGAACATTTGAAAAAGTGAAAACAGCAGAAAAAGACAAAAATGACAAAATAGGAAACATCCCAGACAAGAAAGAATACAAACATAGTAAAACAAGAAAAAAAAAACAAGTCGTAAAAAGATGTCCTAAGGAAACCAACACGCCAGATAATAAATAATGGAATTAGCAGACTTGGATGCGCAATATAATGAAGAGGAGATTATAACTCGAGAGGAAAAGAATTCAACTCATTTTTTATTTCCTCTATAACGAGATTTAGAATTAAATTAGTTGACACATTAATTAACACATTGGCAAGTCACGGTTATCCGGAGAAAAAAGGTTTAAATCATGGTTTCATTTACTTATAAAACTGTGATTGAGAGTGATCTCCCGTGTAGAATTCTCTATGAAATGTAAACCAAAAAAGTTTACATTTTACAGAGGTAAACAAAAGCACATGTGCTTCCTTCAACGGGTAGAATCATATCTACAGCAAGTAGTGATGGAACGATTGTCGCCGACGATCGATTGTCGGTCGTTCAGAGCTCTTCGATGCTACTAATCGATTACAAAAAAAGTCGCCGACGTCGCTATGTAAATATTCCGGATATATGCCTGTAACAGTGGGAAAAATATCCCCAGAAAGACAGGAACAAATAGATGATCCTAAAGTATTCCAGAATCCTGCAAATTAGACTGACGCGGATGCGGTTACAACGGGCAAAGCGGAGGCGTTTATAGTTCAAGTCAGAGGGGACTGCAAAAGATGCATCACAATCTGTTGTTGAAGATAAGTCACATAAATACAACTTATCTGAGACTTAATTTGTATGTGTGAAGTTTGTTTTTACCTGTCATCTTTTCTATTGCAGAGGATACATACAGCAGCAAAATTGGTTTGATTGATGAAGTTGATTTGGAAGACATTTCTTTGAATAAATTAGATAAATTACAAAGTACCAACAAATCGTACGTGGTATTTGACATATACTACTGGACTTGAAATTCCCTGATATTCTGATTATTCTCTGAAAATCTCTGATAGACTCTGTACTTTCACTGTAAATTTCTGTACTTGCCTCTGTACTTCACAGTACATTACAGTACCTCACTGTACAGAAGCACTGCATTTCACAGTACCTCTCTGTACATCACAGTACTCTACAGTACTTCCCAGTACGCATTCACTGCTTTCCACTGTACGTCACAGATTTTTGCTGTACAGATTACTGTACTTCACAGTACATTACTATTATTCTCTGTACTCATTTACTGTACATTACAGTACATCACAGTATTTCACAGTACATAGTTCTGTACATTTCTGTACGGTACAGTTTTACACTGTCCTTTGCTGAAAAAACACAGTAACCTCAAATGATTTTAATTTATTTCCCATTTTATTAAAAATGCATTTATTTTCAATTGGGTATATTGTAAAAGAATTTGAATTTAAATAGAAATTCTTAATTTTAGTACGTTACGCATTTTTGAGGTTAAAATTCCCATATCACGTTTTTGGAAGAAAAGAATAGGCCGAGACAAGATTCTGATTTGAACAGCTTCTTTTTTTAAATCTTTAATCAATGATGTTTTTCAGATGTTTAAATATTTCATTTCTACATGTTTCCGTGTACAGAGGACCGATATAAAACATTGAGCAAACCTATATTTAAGATTTTACGCGATTAAAATAATTCTTTGAGCTGACTAAATTATCTAAATGATAATTTTCTGCTTTTTTTTCTTTTGTAAATTAAAAACCGATTGCCATTTACCTCTCTCCTAACTCTTTTAAAATTATCTATCAAGACACACAATCACACACACAAGAAAGCCATAAAACGTAACATAAGTTCTTCCTTTCTACACGATAATACCTGCATTGTTCTTATAAAATGAAAATAATTATAATTAATTAAAAAAATATTATTATTATGACAATTGGTTTTTCTGCCAGTTATGCAATTTTTATCAGCAATAGTTGCAAGTGTTCATACCTACATGTATGTTTACATGGGAAAATATATTGATCCTAATTCTTTTACTGAACAAATTACTAAATGGTCGTTTTCCTATAAATATAAACCTTTAAATCTATTTGTATGTAT